ATATTTCCATGATGATTACAGTCATTGTAATTGCTGTCATATATTTTTGGCATTACAATGCACAACTTAGATGGTAGGCTGCATAATACAATATATTTTGAATCCCCTAGCCTATATTTCTACATATTTCTGTATCATAATCAGTCTTGGGCAGTATCACATTATTAGTAACGCGTTACAGTAACGCCGTTAGTTTTGGCAGTAACTAATACTCTAACGAGTTAGTTTTTAAATTCAGTAACTCTGTTACTGTTACCAAACGGTGCATTACTCTGTTATTTTTGGCCAGGTTTTAAAACAGCGCGCAGCATGCAGTATTCCTTCACAAACTGTAGTTCCCTTCCACTAAATCATTTTAGCCCTAAACAATAAAAGATAGTCAAGTCAGATAGAGGTATATGAACAATTCTTACCAGAGCATCTTAATGAAACACGTCTCTCACCATCTCTAAAGTCACTGTCGACCTGCTGGCCTCACCACAGTGCTGTAACGTTACATAAAGCAGTAGCGCTTCTGTAGATTTTTAGTCCCAGTAACGTTACATCCAGTGATGTGATATCCATTGTTATCCAGAGGAAGCTTTGGTGTGGACAGACAATGTTTGCGGTGGGAAACAGACTCGAAATCATCATGTAGCTCTTCAAATGTTCTCTTTAGCTCATTTTCCATATTTGTATCCAAGTACCGTAGTTGTAAAACGTTCAGCTGCCTGACAGTGAGTGACTCCACTGTAGAAGACGGTTGCATGTTTCCTATACCCTTCAACTGTTTTGTCAAGTTGTAGTCTAATAGTCCCTTGATTAAACCGCTGTCGCTTAAGCGATGTAGCTATGAGCACTCAAGTCGTAAAAAAAAAATCAAGGGGGATGGTGGATTTTATCACATGGGGACATAATTTGTGCTGATGACAGCGCAGAGGGTCTGCCATAGCACCAATGCTCTTACATAGTTAGGGTCAAATGCACAAGACAAGTGCAAAATCATTTCTTCTTCTTCTACTTGGGTCAACTGATGATACTAATAATAATCAAAGTCAATTTTGCTTTTAGAATATTGAATTATAGTGTATTGTTCAAAAAAGCAGTTAGTGGTATATGATCAAAACTGGTATCTAAAGGTTAATTGTTAATTGTGATTAATTAAATGATATAAATTAAACAAGAACCCCTTCATGAAAAAAATGAAAAAGAAATTGGGAAAAATGTTGATCTTTATTGATACAAATACAAATATTGTAGGTTAAAATTCCCAACTTCAGGGCATGGAATGCAAATTGAAACTTAAAATATAAAAATATATTAAAATACAAATAATACAAAAATAATACCACTCTCCCCTATCTCATAAAAGTTTCCAGAGATTTTCATAGTCATGCTTTTTGTTCTCAATATTTCTTGCCCTTGCGTGCTGGCCATAGTTATCCTCTATGTGAAGAAAACAATCTCATTATGGTTTTGTTAGAATGACTGAGCAGAAATCTTACATGACATTTCTCTTCCAGTTGATTTTTAAGAAAACTACATTTTTCTTGAAAATGCCCAACATTCAAGTGTGGATTTAAAAAACAAACAAACAAAAAAAGAACACTGAAGATAAAATAGTTTTGGGGCTGAAAATAATTTCTCACCTTCCTTTTAATATCACTGTTTAACCCTATGGGCCCTAGACCTTTTTGGGGTATTTTTCCTGCCTTTACTTTTAAGCTCATATCACAGTCATTATAAAGGCTACATACACATGCTATATCAGGACAATCTGGGCTACCCAGATTTGCCATCACCACATGTATATTAATTTTTATATCAATGAAAAAAACAAATCCGTGTTACTAAATTCTTATGTTTTTACATGTATCTCACCATAGTAAGTTGGAACATGACATATTCTGCCATATATGAAGAGGGGAGACTCTCTGGAATCTGGCAACATAAGAACCATGATGCTGGGACATTCTGTCACTTCACAGATGTCCAAAACATGTGGTTTGTGCCAGGCGGACATGATTGCCAGTATTTTTTCATTATTGCAAGAAATTCTATTGACTCATTCACAAGTCAAAAATGTGTTTTGTCTGAAAGAAACATGCAATATTTACATCTAAGATAATAGAAAAATAGTAATAATATTATTCCTCACTATATGTAGTGAGTATTTATAGCCTGATGGGATCACAGCACAATGATGTGTGTACAATGCATTCGTGAGTAATCCATCCAATAGTAATGTGTGTGCAAAGCTGTATGAAAGCTTTGTTATACATCATTTTAGTGTAATTTCATCATTTTTTCGCTGTGAAAACATTGGACTACCCACATGTGCTTGGTCTTGTCGGAAAGCTACGGTTCCCCTGTTTCATGTGATATGAGTGGCTTCTCACTATGACGCATGGTCATGGAGAAAATCCATAGAGAAGAACAGGTGTTAATTTGGATGCACTATGCGTTGTTCGGGCGCCCTCTATAGGGCACAGGCATAACATCCATGGCGCAGCTCGCTGAGATACGATATAAAAATATATTTGCATACGTGCCCTCGCCCACAGTATTTTACTCGATACGCGTGAAACCAAAGGTAAAACTAAATGTTGAAATAGCAGTAATACCACATTCATTAAAAAGATGACACAAGGGATGGAAAGAGGGGATGGCAGTTCCCATCATCCCCCCTCAACTCGAGTACTGGCTACAAGCCAATACAGTTAGGAAATGTTCTGGGCTGCAGGGCTGAGTTTCCCAAAACGTGATCCTTCCTAGCAACGTTGTCTTCTTTGTGGCTTAGAAAAACTACACTGCAAAAAAGAAAAGCACCTAGCGCCCTCTAGCGTCCCCACTCAGTCATCTACAGCCAGGACGTACTCAGAGTATAGATGACACTAGTGCGTGCGTGTCAAGGTCATGGCGATGGCGAACCAAGACGAGAGTCCTAAGACGAGTTTTTTTTTGTTTTTTTTTTTTAGATTATTTTTTGGGCTTTTTGCCTTTAATTGACAGGACAGTGTGAAATGGGGAGGGAGAGAGAGAGAGAGTGGGGGGATGACATGCAGCAAAGGGTTGCAAGCCGGAATCGAACCGGCAACCGCTGCAGCGAAGCATCGCCTCTGTACATAGGGCGCTGGCACTAGCCACTGCGCTACCGACGCCCCAAGTTGAGGTTTTTTTTTGGGGGGGGGAGTAACTTTCTCAGTAATGCATTACTTTTTGGTTTAAGTAACTGGGTTACTGAGTTACTTTTTAATGAAGTAACTAGTAACGGTAATGAGTTACTTTTTCTCAGTAACTAGCACAACACTGATCATGATGTTGTTGAACACAATTCAAGTATTGCATTAATACTTGAATACTTGTTTATTTAGTCAGCTATTAAAAAAACAACAACTACCATGTCATGTCTGTATTGAACAAATTGTGGGTTATTCAATCAGTGAGGTCTACTGAAGTTTGCTCCCCACGCAGACTCTCTGGAAGTCCGCAGAGAGTCCGCTTGAGGCCCCTTGTGGACTGGATGAACTGTGGATTTGGACAGCCCTCACCACCCCCAGACTTCCCAGAAATGCGTCTGCAACGTCTGCGAGTCTGCAACTGCAGTGAAGTCCAGACATTTGGATTCAGCCTTAAAAAGTAGCTGAAAGCAGTTAGCAGCTAACTCAAAGAACAGGAACAACAGCCAAAACTGTCCAACAATGAGGTCCAGGAGCTCCTTACCCTCCAAGCAGAGGATGAAATTAGCTGCCATATAACAAGGACCGTAATCGTAAGTGCTACTATCGTAGGCAACTGGACTTGCTTGCGTTTCTTGAAGACGTTTCACCTCTCATCCAAGAAGCTTCTTCAGTTCTAAATGACTGGTACAAAGTTGCAGGCTATAAACCCTGTGTGGGTGGGAACCCTTGCAGAGTCGTAGGGGTCATAGGTCACAATGTGAGGCCACCATGTGACTCACATGACCCCTACGACTCTACAAGGGTTCCCAACCACACAGGGTTCATAGCCTGCAACTTCATACCAGTCATTTAGAACTGGAGAAGCTTCTTGGATGAGAGGCGAAACGTCTTCAAAAAACGCAAGCAAGTCCAGTTGCCTACGATATTAGCACTTACGATTACCATGACCTAGATGACTGAGAATCTTCACCGACACATCGTGCATCCCCATACATATAAATACACATACCCATCCTGTCAACTAGGACCCTACACCATCCCTAATGCAAGCCAGAAAAGCCTGCCACATTTGGCTTATTTTGCTTGGGACATTGTTTACCCTGGCAATCATATTTTCAAAAGCAGCTGTCTCTGTCATAAGCTTAAGCCACTCTGCAAATTCTGGCTTACATGGGCTCTTCCAGTTCCGTAAAATGATTCTACCATACAGCCTGTTAATATCAATCCAAGCTCTGCCTTAGTTATGCTTGAGGGTATGAGAGACTTGTCTCCTAACAGACATAGCTGTGGTGATTCTAGTAGAGGTATTTTAAGCCACTCTTCCAAATTTTTTCAGTATCATTTTCCAGAAAGGAAGTACCCTTGGACAGTCCCATATAGCATGAAGAAATGTACCCTCTTCTTTATTACATTTCCAGCACTTTTTGTCCTGGGTTAATCCCATTTTAAACAGTCTCAGGGGTGTGAAATAATATCTGTGTACAATTTTATAGTGGATAAACTTACATTTCACATCCCTCGTAGCCCATCCCACATTTGAAATCACATCTTGCCATGTTTCCTCATTAATCTCTTTACCGAGGTCCTTTTGCCATATCAATCTCAGACTTTCACACATTCTTTTTTGTATATTTGATATTTTCTTATAAAATCCTGATGCAGAATGTTAGTACGGAGCCCCTAAAGGGACATGGAAGGGAAAAAAATAGACGGTTGAAAAAAAAAAAAAAGTACTTTTGCAAGATCTCGCAAAACTTTTGCGAGATCTCGCAAAACTTTCCTTTAAGTAATGTACTTCCAGGTCAGTTTGGCCCATAGAGACTGCAAACAAAAGCAACAATGGAGCGCATTCACCCGTGGGAGAGGCTCATAGAGTTTTATTTTGAGATTGGCCTCAAATATAAAGACATTAAATCAGTGCTCGCGAGTAAACACGGTTTTCATGTAAGTGAGAGACAACTGAAGCGACTACTTAACGCAAGAGGACACTTTCGTCGAAAAACATTCTGTGACTTGGAAGTCCTGATTGAATTCATTAGCAACCAAATACAGTACACTGGACAGCTTCACGGTTACCGGTGGATGTTTGCTAAATGCAGAGAACATGGACTACGAGTGAGGAAAGAGGATGTGCGCTTGGTGTTGAAGGAGCTGGATCCGAGAGGAGTGTCATTAAGGCAGGCAAGACGTCTCAGACGACGGAGCTACTTCTCAAGAGGGCCAAACTTCATATGGCACATGGACTCTTATGATAAACTGAAGCCATATGGCATTTGTGTCAGTGGAAGTATTGATGGTTTTTCGAGGAAAATAATGTGGCTCAATGCCTACACAACAAGTAGTGACCCAAAGTTGATCGGAGGTTATTATATGGACATAGTGCAGCGTTTAGAGGGTTGCCCTCAGATTGTGAGAGGCGATCTTGGAACAGAAAATGGCCAAGTCAGAGGATTCCAGCGTTTCCTCGTCCCCACTCCCCCAGACAGCACCCTTGACAGTTACTTGGATGGAGCCAGCACCGCCAATCAGAGAATTGAATATTGGTGGGGTTTTCTTCGCAGCCAGTGTGTGGAGTTCTGGTTATCCCTGTTTGGAGACCTCAGAGACAACGGGTTCTTTGATGGTGGATTTCTGGACAAAAGCCTCCTTCAATTTTGTTGCATGGGACTCATCCAGGTGAGTTCATGAATTATGTTTTCATATGTGTGCCTGTGTATGTGAGAGGGAGAGGGGAGGCAGAGAGACAGAGAGGAGGGAAGGTGGAGAGAGAGACAGGGAGAGAAGAGAAAACGATAGAAAGGGGAGATGGGGAGAAATGGAGAGGGGGGGTAGAGAGACAGGGATAGTAGAGAAAAAGATAGAGGGAGAGGAGAGAAATGGAAAGGAGGTAAAGATGAGCTCAGGGGGACACAGAGAGGAGGGTAGAGAGAGAGAGAAGAGAGTTAATGCTCTAATTTAGTGCTCATTTAAGTTGACATGTATGTACAGTTCTTCCTAAATGTATTTGTGCATTCTTTTTAACAGGATGAGTTGGATGACACTGCACAAGTTTGGAACGCACACACCATCAGGCCCTCAAAGAACATAAACGTCCCCAGCGGTCGGCCTAATGTGATGTATGCCTTGCCTGAACTTTACGGGACAAGAGACTTCCTTTCCCCAGATGAAAATGAACATGTTCAACTGTGCAAAAACCAATGTGTCTTTCGCCAGACAATACCATGCGATCCGGATTTATATGAACTATGCAATATCTTTATGGCCGAGTCTCATCTGACTCCACCAACAGATCCATATCAGGCTGTGAACTTGTATATGCACCTAAGAGAGGCCATCAGTGTATCTCTGTAAGTCACAAGTATTGAGTTGTGTCCTGTATGGGCCAGAGAGTTGAGCTGTTGGTATAGTGTATTGTATTTTTCCTTGCTATCATTGCTATCATTAACCATGCTATATGTTTATGTTCTGTTATTTTAACTGATTTGATTTGATGTATGTTTGGCTTGATGTATGGGTAAAAATACAACACTATTGATCCTCAGCTGG